ATTTCCACCACAGATCTTCCTGCGGGTGTCATTACTACTGACTAGAGGACTACATTTTAACAAAAACACCAGCAGCGTTCTCTGATAACACTGACACTTTTAAACTGTAATCTCCAATCTGTAGGTCAAGTGTGGAGATTATGATTACTACACCACCAAATATGTATAAATAAGTAGAGATATTAAGAAAACAGTTTGAATCGTTACGCCGATGTAATAAAACGACTATTTCGTTTAGTTTGGCGGAAAAAATACATAAAAACGTGATAAAACTGTTTATAGTTAATTTAATGTTTTATGTATGTTTGTCTACTGGCCAGGTAGAATGGTTCGTCCGGGTGTGTGTCATGGGATTTGATACTATTATACGTTCTTAGTTGTGTAGTTTCTGTCACAATGATTGTAAATGTTTTGCTTTGAACACTATGTCAAAATTATTATTTTTCAGTTTCGATATTATCATTTTCTTCACGGAAATTTGACTAAAATCTAAGTGGGAGAGCTGTGGGACAACTCTCAATAAATAAATTTTAATAGTAGTATGGCGTTGACCGAGTGCATTTAGACACTCAGACAACAATTTGTGGATTGCTCCGTGCGGGAATCGACCCGCTTCACGTTGCGCGGCAGCCGGTTGCCCAGCCACCGCCCCAACCGTGCAGTGCAAATTATTTCTACATAGAACACAGTGAAAGCACAATGCTTTTACCAAAGGATCTTATATGATACTTCACATTCTTTTGTTTCTATGAAGTACTGCGCATTATGACACCTTTTGTAAAAGAACTGTGTAAGAGTGAGGCCCCACTTGACCGTTGCGCTGTGTTGCGTCGTGTAGTCGCAACGGAACAACGCATTGTACGCCTCACCAAGGTTGCGACGACGCACGACGTCGCAGCTGCGTCTCAGGGCTCGTACACAAAACTGTGATGCGATGCGATGCGAATTCGCAACGCAAAAAAATACGATGCGAATTGCTGCGATGCGATTTCGTGCGACAAGGCGTCTCCCAGGGTGACCATTCCTTCGACGACCGTCAACCGTTCTAAACGTATTTTAAATTGAAAACTAGGTCGTGAGTCGTGACATGCATCGTAAAAAAAGTGTGCGTAACTTCTGTTATTGCTTAAAAGATACAGGAAAAGAAACAAACAAGATTTTGGGGAGATAAGATTTTGATGCACGATGCGAATCAATTCGCAAGTTCTTGCGATGCGTAGAGGGAGCTCGCAAATTTTTGCAATGCGGTGTTACTACCCAATCTTGGATTGGGGAGATTGGGTACGGAGGGGAGATAATTGGACCTCCGGTAACCTCACTCACACGACGAAATACAACGCGAGCGTTGTTTCACATTGGTTTTCTGTGAGGCCGTGGTATCACTCCGGTCGAGCCGGCCCATTCGTGCCGAAGCATGACCCTCCCACACTTCCCGATATCTGCTAAATATGAAGTCCAAAGTTAAAATAAATAAAGTTAAAAACTTCTGAACGTCAAACGTCTCTTAGTCGCCTACGACACTCGCGGGAAGAGTAGAATCCTACTCTTCCCGCGGGTCATCACCAATCGGTGACAAATACCATTATTGTACACCGTGTGATGTACAATAATAGCTGAGTAATTTATGTTCGGCCAAGCAAATAGGCCGAATGTTTTGTGTGAGGCCGAGGATCGAACGCGATACGGTATAAAGTTGGAATGTGATCAATTTGGACAAGATCAAAGCGTTTATTGTAATAGGTATGCTTTTACAGTAATTTGATGTTCAAGATTAAAGTCAAATGTGAGGATTTTGCTTGTTAATTTAATGTTTAATATGTGAATTTATTTGTGTACATGACGACACGACATATATTGTTTTAAAATTTAACCAAATAATAGTGTGATCTTATTAATTTCGTGTGTGAATGCTCAGATTCGATTTTCGGATCGAGCAAAATATTATTGGTTATGCAGACTGGATTTAACGCAAAAGGGAGATCAATACTATCTACGAGGATAATATTTAGACGAAATTAAAATTCCTACCAAATATCCGTATTTCGATCCATTGCATTTATTCTAAAGCCGAATAGTAGTAACAATACCGATGTTATGGATAGTTGCACGTAAATCCCATCTCTAGTTGAATAGCTTAGTAGTAAGCCGATCGCCGGAATATACCTATTGTATATGGGTAAGCAATTATTGTAAATTGTACATTGAAGGGGCCAGCTCAAGCGAACCAACCAGGGCCTCATAGAAAACCAGCGTGGAACAACACTTGCGTTGTGTTTTGTTGTGTGAGTGAATTTTTCAGAGGCTCAATCCTCCGGTAGCCTCCGGTAGCGTCACTCACACGACGAAACACAACGCAAGCGTTGCTTCACGTCGGTTTTCTGTGAGGCCGTGGTATCACTCCGGTCGAGCCGGCCCATTCGTGCCGAAGCATGGCTCTCCCACACTTACATTTTTTCAGCCATTTCAATTAAAAAAAATGTATAAGATCCAAGCTTTTTTAGGCGAATTATGTATGGATGATAGCAATCCGACCAGGATTATATTACAAACTTTCACAATATCCATTATTAGTCCCAAAAAGGTAATAAAACCCAAGAAAAGCAAAACCAACAGGTTCACTATGACAGTATCCATTTACTTGTTTGTATGAGTGTCATTAATAATTACTTACAGTAGAGCTTTTTTCAGTATATTCACGTGAGTAACCCGGGATTTTGAGTTAATTTAGTATGTCTCACGATAGTTAGGTTAGATTATAAAAACATTGCACATGCGAAGTTTACATACATTGCACATGCGTATTCGCAACCAATATTTCGCTTGTCAAAATCTTTTGAGAATAAGTTTTTTTTAAACTGATGAACATATTAGTAATATATTGAAACGTGATCAAAGGTAACTTAGCTTTTGATAGCTCCTTAGTCTTCCGTGTGACGTCACACACATGGATAACTTAGGTATGCTTTGTATGTAGTTAGTGGCTTTGATAATGGGACCAAGTTTGTGTAGTTTGTAGCACATAGATGTGATATTGAAGGAATTTCTGTGTACGAAGTTGATACTCAAATACCTTGGTTCAGTGTAGTTAATGGAGACGATCGTTTTGGGAATATTACGCCGAATTTGAGACTAGCTAGGGGCAACGTCTTTAAAAAAGCTGATGGTTCAGCCACTGGGCACATAATATCGCCGATTATTTATTATAGAAGGATAATGAATAGCAGAGTGTCGCGGTGGTCCGGAGGTTAAGACGCCTGTTTCTTTGAGCAAGTGAGCAATTGTGGTGATTAATGCTCACACCTTCTCCGTGTGAGAAGAGGCCTTAGACTGACGAGGATGATGCTGTACATAAGAGTATTGCGATGTTTATCGATAACCTATAATTGTAGTTGTAAACAGTATAAACAATCAATAATTAACTGATTGAATTTTGAAGCATGGTGTTAACAGTACGCTTCCGCAAAGCGTTGACAGGTGATAACACGGAGCCGCAGAAAACTTAACGGGTTGCCGGGGCTCCGGCTCGAAGTGCAGGAGTAGGAACGGGGTGGTTTTTAATCAGTAAGAGTCTGACACTCCCTCTCGCCTCACCCGGGCGGGAGAAGTCATTGGATGATTTTCCAGACTCCTTGCTACTACTGAGATTATTTGAAAAAGCCCAGCCAAGTATTAACTTTGCCCGACCCGGAAATCGAATCCGAGACCCCTTGCACGGCAGTCGCGATTGCACTCGGCCAGCGAGGCAGTCACGAACATCTTATTCTCTATACGTAGAACTAATTGATTTAGGTTATGTAAAAATAATTTATTACTGTCAGCGTTTTAGAGCGTTTCGTTTATACCCTGTATAGAGATATAGACACATAAGGATACCACACAGAGACAAACATACAACTATGTGTAATTAGTTCTCTTTGACATATGAGCTTTCACCGCCAGGGTCTTGAACAGTGAACCGCCTCAGGGGTTCCGAAATTTGATGGAGCGGAAGCAACTTCGGAACTCAAAGAACTATATTTAGTAAGGCTCTGTATATGTGTTTATATTATCTGTGGCAAGCTGGCCACTTTCAAGAGTGGAAACCTATTTATGTTCTTCTTTTGTTTTTTGAAATATATTCAGTGTGCTTCTGACTAGCTTGTTTAATTCACATGTAAAATAATAATAATTTATTATTATACTACATAATTTCTTAATTCAGGTTTGTATGTATTTAGCACTTCTATGTTGTAATAAGGCGTGCGGGTCTGCGCACGGCGAACAAGGGTAGCTCGCCGCCTAACCAGAACCAGATCCGAGCGTACGGCGTGTCGTGTTCCGTGCGCGCCTCGAAGAGCTAGCAGACTACCACAGATGGGACCTAGTAGGGCTGATGCCCGATACGGAGCTGCGGAAGGCCTAACGGGTTGCTAAGGCTGGTTTTTAGTCAGTAGGAGTATCACACTCTTACCAACCCGTTCCTACTCCTGCTCTTCAAGTCCGGCTTGGCAAGTAAGAGCCTGATACTCCCTCTCGCCTAATCCAAGGCGGAAGAAGCCATTGGATGATTTTCCTCAAAAAAAAAAAATGTAAAAAGGCCTAGTTTCGAGTGTAGTTATCGTTTGTGTTTGACATTCAGTATAAGCTTGCAAGGTCACACGTTTGTTAAGATGATTTTGAGTCTATTTGGTGTTGATATTTAATACATTGACATCAGTAGGATGCGCGACACCGCCGCGACCGCGCACGCTACTCATGAGGAACAACCTGTTGTTCGCAATGAGCAAATGAATGACTCGTGATTTTTAGTTAACATTGACAATCCTCAAAGCCTCACTCCTGTGGTGTTTGGACTTCAACTATTCTGGTGTTTGGAATGTTCGTGGGCGGTACCGATTGCTTACCATCAGATGATTCGGCTGCTCGTTCTATAGTCCAATAGTAAACTTACATGGGCTGCTGACAATAGTATTTGCTATAATTTGTACTAAAAAATATGATATGATACAATATGAACTCACCATGTTCGAGCGACTGGTGCATGACAAACGTAGATGTAGCGCTGCACTGCCAGAGCCAGGGTTAGCCAGATACTCGCCGTGTGGAACATTGCCGGTATCACCTATAGACAAACCAAAAAGGAGCAGTTATTTATGTGTGCATTTAAAGATTTCGATCTACAATTTACTAATATGTGTAAATGAAGTTTATCACCCTTCATTCAATTTGAAGTTGGTCCCAGTTCTTAAGGAGTGCTTAACGGCCTTTCATGGGGGGGGGGGGGAGATATGTAAATGAAGTTTATCACCCTTCATTCAATTTGAATTTGCCGCGCTTGACTTGATTGTTAAAACATATTGTTTATCAAAATAAACTATCTTTTCAGAGCAACGCATTTCGCAATCATTTAATCGACAGTTACAATCCTTTAAATTAGAACATTATATATGTATAAAACTAAATTAACTAAACTGTGTGTGAATGACTGACTGACTGACTGGAGACTGATAGATAACGCGCAACCGAAATTATTGAACCTGAAACTTAGCATGTATGTTTCCTGAGGTATATAGGAAGCACTAAGAGCACATTTCCTAAATTCCCAGGGGAACAGTCAAAACGAGAATCACTTTGTGCGGACGGATTCAGTGGCAGAAGCAGACGAAGCACCTGAGCAATCGGTGCCGTCCATAAACACGCAAAACACTAAAGGCGTTATCAGTGCATTACCCGAATAGGAAATAGGAATTTGAGGATTGATTCAGGGATTGGGGAGATTAGGAAGGTGGTAATTGGGCTCCTGTAACCTCATTCACACAACGCAAGCGTTGTTTCACATTGGTTTTCTGTGAAGCCGTGGTATCACTCCGGTCGAGCCGGCCCATTCGTGCCGAAGCATGACCCTCCTACACTTAATATTAAAATAAGACCATACTGAATAGGCCTCCTAATAACACCATCCATGATACATCCAGATCATTCCATATCCTTGTTGACAAAACAATCGACTAAACTAATACAACTTATTGATACATCCACTCGAAGACGAACAGCTGTGACGTCACAGGTACAATCGGCCTATTTCCGCTTGTCGAGACGAGTTCCCATAGGAAATGACGTAGTCTACTCTTGTGAACTTAGGTAATGGTAGTATGCTTAGTTTTGGGGATATGTATTTATGGGTAATTATACTAGTTTTTGCTTATGACTTTGTTCATAAATATGTGTGTTTAAAAACCTACTTTTACTTTTATACCTAGAGATATATGATATAGACAATAGGCAATTGATTAAATATTGTATCAATAAGATTGTAAAAAAATCATAAAAGAGTGACAACGGAGTTTCTTGCTTCTTCTTCTTCTTCTCCATTCGAAACTACATTTTGGAATGAGCGCCTAGCTTCACACAGACACATACGGACGGACGGATAATTCAATTTTGACGTTTCAAAAGTATCTAATAAAATATTAATTGAAATAAATGCTTTGACTTTGACTATATAAAACATGTTTATCATGATCTAGCTTTGAATGATCTTTTGGTTTGTTTAAACGCACTAATCTCCTGAACTACTGGTCCGTTTTGCTTAATTATTTTTGTGTTGAATTTTGCATTTTCAAGGAAAATGTTTACACTATGGCCAAAACGAGCAGAACAGCAGATGAAAACCTGCGGAAGTAGCTAGTGTTACAGTATTATTTCATCATCAACAGCTTATAAATGCCCACTGCTGAGCAAAGCCTCTTCTCACATGGAGAAGGTTTGAGCATTGACCACCACGCTTGCTCAGTGCGGGTTGGCGATTTCAAACTTATAATTATAAATTAGCCCAGGTTTCCTCACGATGTTTTTCTTTAACCGTTTGTCAGTGGTGTCTAAATAATATTAGAAAGTACATATAACTCGGAAAAAGTCACATTGGTACTTGCCGTTGGTAGGTTTCCCGTTAACCCTCCTGCATGAGAAGCGGGCGTCTTAAACCTCTGGGCCACCACGATACCCCGAATATTATTTATAGAAAATATATCATAACGGCTTAGATTAAACTCAAGGACTCCAAGAGCTAAGATTATTATAAGCAATATATTTGTGTTAGCAATTGAGCTCATCTCAATCTCAATGCTTATAAGATAACGCTTAATCTGGCTTTCAGCTCTAGAGCTGAATACTATATGTAATATTAATATTTGAATATTAATAATACATTGAGGGTGTTCAATAGGCATGGGGTGTTTCAATGGGTTCATTAAATGACACTAACAAATGGGAAAATATTTAGTTTTTATGCCGCTGAAGGGAAAAAATTACATTATGCAGTGTGTAGTACCGCCCTCCTGCCCACAGATAAACGCTCATTCAGCAAAGATGCGACACAAAGTCAAAGTGAAAGTAAAAATCATTTAATTCAATTAGACCAGGAAGGCACTTTTGAACGTCAAAACAAAATATTGAAATATTAATAAAAAATGTCAGTCTGTCGATCAGTCCTCTACTGAAGCTATTTGCTTGTTGCAAAGTGTAGGATTCCTATAGAGAAGAACGAGCAAGAAACTCCATAGGTTACTCTTTTTCAATCAGGTTCAGGGATGAGCCTATTGTTATATTCCGGGCATAATTTCAGACCTTGTGCTACTACTGAATGTTTTTTTAAAAACCCTTTAATTCTTTGCCCGACCCGGGAATCGAACCCAAGATCCCTAGCCCGGCAGGCACTTGCGACCACTCAGCCAACGAGTCAGTAGTTATTTGTATTTATAATATTAATAATACTTCGTTCTTTTAGTATTTATTATGTATATATGAGAATATAAATAATGTATTAGTAAATATTAATATCGTCGATACTGTACCACAGTATAGTGGGCTGTAAATTAATGGATGGCATCCGTTACTACCTAATGGTTAATCCATTATAATTAAAACCAGAATCTATACATCTATAACTGATACAAAAATAAGAGTGTCTGTTTGTAATATTAAAATAACTACTTTTTACTACATATGTATATATCATAAATATACTAACGATACACATACCAAAATAATTTTGTTTACATTTTTTGTCTGTCTGTCTGCCTGTTTGTACTGCCTAATCTCTGAAATGGCTGGACCGATTTTGCACGACTTTTATTGGTAGGTAGCTGATGTACTAAGAAGTAACATAGGCTACTTTTATTTTGGAGAACTGAATAAAAAAAAAGTTATGTTCTAAAATTCATACTCTATGCAGACGAAGTCGCGGGCAACAGGTAGTTATAAAACAGGAATATTGTGCAAATCCAAATTAATGGATTTTGTCTGTGTATGAGTGTGAAACTAAATGATAAAACAAATAAATGAAGTCATTTGTCAAGAACTGCTTATGTATATCTAGATGTTAGTCTACTTTTTCTTTATTTTTTTTTTCAAGGCTATTTTGAGGCCAAATTCAGATACAATACAGGCATAAAACCAGAAATTAAAATTAAAATTACAGTATCATTACACTTAGTCCCAGCGCCCACGTCAGGTATGATCACCTCGCCAGGGGGCTTACTCTTGAATCCCATTCCGATCGATCGAAATTGGTATTGTCAAATTTCATACTCTTCAGTTACAACACTAGCGTCCATTGCATCCGTATTGCGTGGATATTTAATGAACTAAATGGTATTGAGTTTCGCTTTATATTCCGTACTCTGGACTCTAGACCCCTGGTCGGAGGATCCTTTTCTACCAATCTTAGAAAACTTTACTCTCTGTTTATTAAACAAAAAATGTTTCAAAATACGAGAAATCTGAATTTTGAATCAGACAAAAGGATTCTAAGATTTAAAATTAAGTATTCGTGCTTACAATTTTACAATAGACAACTTTATAATAAAAAGAATCGTCTGTAAGTAAAATGAGAAGCAATCAAGCAAAATACTTTACGAACAATTTGAAAGAAACGTTCAGAAAGGCGAATCAAATCTAGCTGCGATTTTATAATGTTGATTTAAAACATTTCTGATATCATTTATTCTAGAGTACCGTGCTTAAAAACTCACATTTTTAGTTATTTTTTATTTTGTCATAGGGCAAAAAATACCAGACGAGGTTGGAACTCCTGATGGTAAGCGATTAGTTGCGCCCATAGGCGCCCAGACCCACGACACCAGAGTAGGTTGTCAACTGGAAATGTGCCCGGTATATGGCAATAGGTTCACCCCTAATACACAAGGATCGCAGGACGATCTCCGGTCACCGTAAGTGCGGGCCTGCGGACGGCGAGCATGAGTGGCTCCCCGTCCGACCAGAAACAGAACCGAGAGTACGGCACGTCGCGTTCTGCGCGCGCCTCAAAGAGCCATCAGACCACCACGGATGGGGCCCAACAGGGCCGATGCCGATTCGGAGTCGCGGAGAATCTAACGGGTAACCGGGGCTCCGGCTCGACGTGCAGGAGAAGGAACGGGGTGGTTTTTAGTCAGTAAGAGTCTGACACTCCCACCCGCCTCACCCAGGCGGGAGCAGTCATTCGATGATATTCCCCTCTTTAAAAAAGCCCCCACTCCTAAACTTTGATTCATTTTATCTAAGTATTGTTTTATTATGCGACCAAATAAAAAAATACGTGTCTAATATTTTTTCATTACCTAACTTACGGACTAATGAGATTTTTAATTTTTATACCCTGTCAGCATCCTAATTATTAAAGTAGGTTTTCAATTTTACCTACCGAACCCATAGCTTAATCTACCGACTCTCACTTAACCGATTTTTGAATTCGCAAACACAGTGATAGCAGACCGATTATACACAAGTTACAAATGTAATTTTGCAGCTGTGCAAACAGAAATTTCGGAACATTTTGTTCGGGAAAGAGGTTTTATGAAATGCAAACTTAGTTTGTCCACGGTTTTGCTAACTCTGCAAGTCGCCGGCGGATTTCAGTTCGAGAAAATATCGGATTTTCTAGTGCTCTTGGACGCTCAAGCCGCATTCGTAGTTATGCCTAGATTTTACTCGCTTTGTGACTAGTTTTTCTGTCTTATAGTCGACTATAGAGACTGCTAAGAATGCTAGTGCTTTATATTTAAGTGAATGAAGTTGTAAAAGTTTCTTTTTTGCGAAAAGAAACTGCAGAAACGTGGATTA